ACTTTGAAGTTGTGCGTGTACTGCTGGAAGCTGGAGCTGACAAAGATGCCGGAATTGGAACTGGGGAAACAGCTTCGTTTATTGCAGCAGAGCAAGGCCACTTGGAAGTTGCACAGCTGCTGCCGGAAGCTGGAGCTGACAAAGATGCTGCAGTCGCAACAGGGTAATCCGTCGTGGTCTCAGATGATTAAAGTGGGTGCTTCGGGTTGCGCAGAGGACAGGAGAAGAGATGGGTCCTGAAGTATATCAGCTGTCCAGATTCCCAAAAAAGGCTAGAGATGCGGGCCCCTGGTACAATGGTGCAGAGCAGTCTGGCATCCTGCCGTCCCAAACCACAAGATATTGAGTCTAGAGAACCAATGATAAGGACTGTTTCTTCCAAGTTTGTCATTTGTCTTCATGGGATGACGGATGGCTATTTGATGCCATTTGCATTCGCAAATCTTGGGACAGCCCGCAAACCACTTCCGGCCCGAACTCATCATCATCATCACCATCACCATCACCACCATCACCATCACCATCATTCACCATCATCGTCATCGTCATCGTCAATCATCCTAGATTTGGTTCCCCTTCGTTGGTGATTCAATATCCATTTCTCGTCTCTGGACGGAACGCTCGCGCTGACCGATGAATTCGACGGTCGATGCCAGACGTTCGATTTCGACGGATGTCTTCGCAGGCGATCAAGCGTGGAGCGACCTCTGTGCGTGTAGGCGGGAGAGTGTGGAGCATCCCTGTTTTCTGTCCACAGGATCAAGGGTCTTGGCTCATCAAATTAAGTCTGAGACTTTGTCAGTAAAGACTCCTATAGCTTGTCGTGGTTCTTTACAACTACTCCCCAAAAAGCTTGGTGTTATGGCAAGGCTTAAGGCTTGCTGGCTGCATCTCCGTCCTGCAGCGGTTGTTTGGTTTGACAGGACCCAGACGATCCCCAGACGACCGGGTCAACCGACGTCGGACCGTGGGATCACGACCTGAATTGCATAGCCTGGCATTTGAAGGTATCGGCTCAACTACTGGTGATTGTTTATGAGTTTTACATGCCAATATCGAGGCTTCGACTGAGATCTTTCAATGGCTCAACTACTTTTTGGAACATCTGCTGATATCCGCGGTAAGGATTCTATGGTTTACGTGCTCAACATTGCTCAACTATGTATCCAAACCTTTCAGTCCCAAGTCTTGCTTCAACTCGGAGCACCAGGTACCTCCATCTTTGGCACCAGACCGCCCAAAGAGTAAAAAAAGGCCTAAGCGGTCGACTCTTGCACGGTCCACTGCGATTCTCCCGCAGGAGGGGAAATTGATGAACAACTCCAGCAGCAGTTTGCGAGCACAATATTGATTTGGAGATGCTGTCAAAGTCACGCCTTCTACAGAAAAAAAAACAACAATACATAAAGGAGTTCTATACAGACTCTTTCAAAGAGGAACACGTCTTCCCAGCATGCGATCGCTTGTGAACACGTCGGGATCGAATGAGCCGATGTTCCGTTCCGTATTCGGGGTCGGTGTTTCTTTGAAGCGATGTTGGTCTCCATCCTACCCAGGAAGCATGTGGATCGCCTGCCCAACTTTGGGCCAGAGGATTTTGAGACACCTCACAAAACAAGACCTGGAAGTTCCTGTGCTACGCTATATGCTACGCTCCTCAGAGAACCGGCCGAAATCAAGAACTTGACACTTGGGCAGTTGGACCCGATGCACACGTGGTTCTTCACTTGTTTCATATCTCACCGTTGTGTGCCACGCCTCACCGTCTATCATGAGCGCCTCACGTAGGCGTAGTCGCCTCGTCTCACTTGTCACGGGAAAGTTCAGTTTAGACCCTGGAAAATTCACATATGAAACATTAGGAACCTGAGAACATCAACAAGTGTTCCGACATGGAACCCGAGAATTGACCCGTGGTTTCAACCATTTTCCAACCCAGTGGTTTTGGGGTTCCATGTGGTCCTTTGCAGGGGAGTAACCTCTATGTTCCAGGGAAAACTGGGAGAGTCCGAGTCTTTTTTGGGAGGCCCACCGTGCCCGGCCCAATGACATCGATGAACATGGGCTCAAGCGTATAGCATCTTATAGCGCCCAAATGGGGCTGGACAAGAACATCATGTTTGTAGGGGTGTTCTTTCTTCACCCCTAGTATAATATAGAACAACCCTACACCGTGAACCCGCTAAACTCCAGAAGTGCTTTGGGTCTGGGGTATATACAACTTCTTTGCAGGTTGTTGCTGCCCTTTTGAAAATCCTGCTATGTTCTTTTGGCAGAGAGACCAAAGGACTTTGCTGAAAGCCACACCACGACTGAACTGATTATCGCGTCATGAAACCTGTGTTGAATATGGCCAACTTCGACGCTGGATCACGTTGCACAGAATCCAGGCCGCTTAGGTGGTGAGCCTCCACCAGACCTGCATGGGTTGTAGGTGTAAATAGTGTGTTATTTGAATCGCTATCCCGGCAGACCGGCATGGGATAGCCATGGTGACTTAGAAGTCGGCTGCTTGGAGAAATGAAGTTCCAACTCATTCTCAGTTGGAGAGGAGGAAGGGATGCACAAATAAAGCTGCGTATGCACTGCGCTTCCGAAAACAAACATGGAAGGCCATTTTCCTTTATCAGGTGAGCCTGGTCCAAGTCCATGCACTTCCTGAATTTGTTTGAGGAGCTGGATCAATGGAATAGGTAGTCAGGACATGTCAGAACTTCATGGGTTTGAGGAGTCAGTTAACCGCCAGTCCAAGTCTATGGTTTGCAGGATTCAAAGCCTCAAAGCCTTTGGCCTGTGGCTGGTATGCGGGACAAAGGAATGTCCACAGGATCTCCTTCACACAATAACGGCTTTCATAGTTGGTGGACATACACGGCATATCTAAGCATGCTGGAGAAGCAACGCAGCATGTGGAGTCCACAAGATAGTTGTGTTTTTTGTTGTTGTTATTTCTCACCAACAGCTGCCAGCTGCCTGCGGACCATCGGACGATGAAGGCCTATCGTTTTAGACAAACAAATAATTGGCTTTCGGGTCCATCGCTGCTGGAGGCGAAACCGATGCCCAGACCGATGATCCGATGCGAAGTTTCGGCGGCCAGGCCCCATCTCAACACAGGTTGAAGGACCCCACGGACTATCCCATAGATACTCCCAGGTGACGGGGTCTTGGACAGAAAGCAAAAGCCTCTCTTGATATCGGCTTTGTATGCGGTGCCAGGTGCCACCGAAACACCGAGCCGCTGGTGCCATCAGGTGCCCATGGGCCGTTTCCATGCCTCCACGAAGCACCACGCAGAGCGGACGGTGCCCTTCGGAGCGGCCTTCGACCCTCGGCTGGGTTTGGACATGAAATCCTCTCCAAACAGTTGATGGTTGAAGCATGTTCCACTAAACTCTGTTTTGTGTTGGTCTATGTTCCCTTAAAATTACTCAGTCTCATGTTGAGACACATCCTGGAGATGGGAACCATTCTTTTATACGACACATAATATGTTCTTGGCACTTCAGAATATGTTAACCTGTGCGAGAACCTTGAAAAGGCAATCACTTTTGTGATATTTCTTCCGGGCTCCTCAAGCAAATCATGATTGGATGGTTCCTGTATAGGACTGAAAGATGGCTGACCGCTCAACGTGCCAAGGCAAGCCTTCGATCCCTGTGGGATGTGTTGGCGCATTTACAATCATTCTAATATATATATATATAGGTGCCAAGAATCTTGAGGGGGATAGACTGGGGGATCGTCAGGAGTTCCGATCCCAGGACCTTTTGCACCTGCCCCACGCAGTTTCCACATGGTACCACTGAAGAAAATAGGATCTAGGAAGCAAAGATGATATACTGTAATGCCTCCCTCACATGTTCAAAGACCCAGTAACTACCTGGTCCTCTACCTCATTGAGACCATCTTTTAGTGGACCAACTCCAGTAAAATGAGATCTTTGACCTGTAGACTTCCGGAGATTCCTCAATCGTAAGGTGTCTCAACTCACCGCTTTTGGACGCTTTTTGCTCTGCGTCCGGTAGATCTTGACCCTAAAACATGCCGAGCCTCAACTCAGCTGGGAGCGTCGTCCCGGGGACTGACGCCGTAAAAACAGGATGCTTCGGTGGGCAAGTCCTTCCCGCGGAACTATGCCGCCTGATTGCAGGGTGAACTGTTGGCCAAGGCGGATGAATGACAGTGGGCACTGCGTCACTGACTCGTTAGATCGCTAGATATGCTAGATGATTGCTAAGGTGAGCAACATCATAAACCTCTATGAAAGAATTTAGGTAGGACTTAAGATTATGAATCTGTGCGAAAGGAAAACTGCAGTTGGGGAAAGCTTGGCGAAAGGTTTGGAGAAAGGCTCTGATTTTTTGATGAATGGATTTTGTTGCGAAAGGGTTGGCGAAGAGGTTTTCAGCACAAAGCATGTCATCCAAAGATTCATGATAACCAGGCGAAAGGTTGGCGAAAGGTTCGCGAAGATGTGGCGAAAGCAGTGGTTGCAGATTAGGAATGATTCCCCTTTGCTCATACATGCTAATATTTTTCTTAGATGTAAGTAGCAGAAACTCGGCGAAAGGGTTAGCTAAAGAGGTTGTCGGGTGAAGTGGGTCGGCGAAAGCAAAACATGCAGCCGCGAAAGCGTTGCGAAGGGATTGGCGAAAGGTTGTTATAATCTTAATAAGAGTTCCGGATGGTTCTTGACACCGCTCAGGTGTTCATCAGGAAGAATGTTCCTCTTTCAGCTCAATTTTCTTTGTTGGGGTGCCAATGATGAGGCCATGTGAGCTGGGCCGCCTCCCAGTCCAGCTGACTGGACCCCGATTGAGAACCAGCCACGGGGTGCCATACGAGACACTGGGACATAGGTGCCATGCCCTGCCGAGACTGCCCAATGCTTCTCCAGATCATGGCTCCCAAATCGGGAGTTGATGGCTGTTTTGCATTCAGGATTTGTGAACCTTGATGTTCACTGCAGTGAATACAAAACATAGGTGCCACCACTCTACAATACCTATTAGGACAGTCCTTCGAAACACCGGTGCTTTCGGCAAAAAACGCAGAGCATTTCTTCCTTCCCCAGCTGGGTTGTCTGCCCCGGGGGGGAAGTATGTGAAGTGTATGCAAAAAAGAGGCGCTTCTTCTGTCGAGGTCACCACATCGAAGTACACCTGGTTGAGCTTCCTGCCGTTGGTGACGTTCGAACAGTTTCAGCCACTGGACGGTGCAGAAGTGCCGGGGAGGGGTATGGGGGCGTCGGCGCAGCCACCATGGACATGTGGTGTCATGTTGAAAATATGACACCACGGGTTGAGATTCTTTGGGGCGAAACGTGGTTGTTTAGGGAAGCAAGCAATGCGTGTTTGGCGAGCGTCCTGGACGGGGAGCACTTCTACCTGCATGTGGATTGTGCTGCCAACACAGGCCCAGTAAGTTTGTATGTCCGACGCTTCTGTTAAGATACAGTTGGGTCCACTAAGCTTTTCATCCTTTGAAGTTCCCGGGGGTGGAACAACCTAACCTAAGATTTTGGAATGCTTCAATTGGCTTTATCAAAGTTTTGCAGGAACATCTTTTGAATACTATTCATTACTGTTCCGTTTTTTGAGGCAAGGCATTCGAGCTTCCTGATTGAAATCAGGAACGCATGTATATATTATTGTAGAACTGTGGACGCTTCCCATTTTAACCAGACTTGCTTGGGATTGCGCGATTATCCACAGCTGCACAACTCACCTGCAACTAGAAGCCAGACCCATGGCAAGCAGTGCCGCAAAGTGTGCTGGCCTAAGCAGCCTTAACAAGTGCGAGACAGTCAGTGTTCTTGGATGTGGGAGGGTGAAGCGTGTGCAAGATTTGTAGTTTGCCACTGGCAGCCTAAAACTGACACATCATCCACTGCAAGCCTTGCATGTGACAATGGGACGACCACGCTAAATTTCATCTCAGCGAAGAGCTTTTCTTTGACAAGCTACTGAATCTCAGTAATTGCAGCAACATATATATATTATATATATACACATAAATTAATCTATTTATACAATTGGATGTCAAGCTATGGACGAGCCTTTCCGGAACTGCTGAATCATCATCAACACGATGCTTCAGAATTGAATAATAGTTCATCCCATGTCCGAATGTGGAGTAGTCTCCTCGCTCAGGAAGAGAGCCAATGTCTACTTCACCTTCATTTGCATCTTGATGTACCTGGGCGAACACACACCGCTCATCGATAGCAGCGTCTCCTGGTGGTCCACCGCCCCTCGGTTTTGACGACTTCGGTCAAGCAGGGCTACAACTCGGCGTTGACGAGTTGTGGTCGCTGTATGTTTTAAAGTGGCGAGGCCAGGCAACCGATCGGTTCCGCTGGATGTGCTTTGTTGACTGATCCTTTCTTTCGGTCCATTCAGTTTCAAGCGCTGAACCAGGTCGAGTTTGCCACCAATCGAGACTTTTGAGCAGTTGCCATGGCACCCCCAAGACCTGATGTGCGTAGTAGGGGCGTTCAAACTTACCGAATCAGTCTATTTCAAGCAGGTTTTGGTGGCCATAGCTCATTTGTGGAGTTGTAGCAGCTAGCACCATCAGCCTCGCCCATTGGTAAGAGGCTGACATAGCTGCTTTGCTCCCTAGTCCATTCAGTCCATCAAACTGGTCCTTGGCTCCAAAAGGATCCAAAGCAGCCAGTTCCTTGGTGATTGGAAGGTTCCAAAGGATCAGTGATTGGCCAGTTCCTTGGTGATTGGTGATTGGCCAGTTCCTTGGTTCCAAGCAGCCAGTTCCAACAGATCCAGTTTGCCTTTCCAAAGGTGAGGACTGACGGAACCTTGAGACGGTGACACGGTGACTCCAACTCGTCGTGATGCATCGAGGAATCCGGGTACTCAAGTGGTCAAGTGAAGAAGGGGGGTCCGCGATGCAGTAAGAGGGTCATACGGAAGAACTGACATTGATTTGTTGACTGATCGTAGATATCCTTGATTGGAGAGAGGAGAGACGCATGACCTGCTGACAGCATGCTTTTCCCTGCACTGACCTGCACTTCGTTTGAGGCTTGTGTCTTGAAGCCAAGCTGCAGAGAGGCTGCCGGACAGACTGGCTTTCGGGCGGGCTCAGAGTGGTCAGACTGCAGTCCTTCCGTCCCTCGTGGGGCTTGTGGTGTCAAAGTCTTCGGAAATAGACGTAAGCGCCAACCACCTCGAGGGTCAGCGCGATCGGTCGCTGGACCGAGCTTTGAAGTATGTATGAAGACTGTAATTGTGAATATGTAATGTATGTATCAGTATAAGTGGTTGAGAGCACTCGAATCTCCCCAAGGCTAGAGTGTTCAAGTTGTTTTTCCATCTCATCTCCATACGCCCGTCCCTATTTTTTACTCGCCACGCATTTACCAATGACATCCGGAGTCACGTCGTGATTCTCCCGTGAAACGCCGAGGATCCCGATGATGGCCATGAGCATGGTCATCTCCGGCTTGGACGATGCAAGGCGGCACCAGTCGGACCGGCAGATGAACAACCAGCGCGCCCGGGCCATCCGCATCGGCGGCTCCTATGGCGTCTACCTGGACACTGGGACGAATGCGTAGATATGCGCGGGTCAAGGGTGATTTGGGGCAGGAAAGCACCGTGGAGGAATGAGATGTCTGCTTGGGGAGTGGAGGATAATTCACACTACAAGACCCAACCCCACCGCATATGAGAAGCATCAGAAATCTGCTTGTGTGTGTGTTGTGGATGCCGGACAAATAATCCGTTGTCGCCAAATACAGACTAACATGGGAAGTTGGTTTGGACTACTAGCTGATAGCCCACAAGGATGTTGTACTGTAATGTCCTGTAGACATCTGCAGACCACAGAATCACCCCAACGCTTCGGATATCTTGGGATATACTGGCGATGACTGGTGTAGAACCCACGCAGCAGCCGGAACCCACGAAAGACTTGAACGAGCTAAACAACTGAACTCAAAAACATGCACACATAACCGCAAACATTTGACGATTCCTGTCATTATCCTCAATGATATGTTGCTGGTAACCCTGTTCTGAAGACCAAACCAAAGAGAGGGCCATTTGCATGGGCCAGGAGGCCACATTGACACAAATATGGTCACCACCAGTTGATGGTTTTTTCGATGAGGGTGGGACCACTGTGCTAAGGTCTAGCAAATTCGCATCAGTAGCTTGCTATAGGCCTCGTGTGCAGCTTTTGCGAGTATAGCGACACTTTTTTGGGGAGCAAGTCTGCACCTGGTCGAGTTCACATGAACGGAGCCGTGCTTCTCAGGACACAGTGCTTTGGAAGGACGGTTCGGATGGGTGAACAGGCGCTGGGGAAGTGTGAGAATGGGCACACCTGATCTTGGCAAAGGTCTTTCTCCAAAAAAAACAGCTGCTCCAAAAGGGGCTTCACATGTTTTGTTGGTTGGTTGCCTTGAACAACAAAACCAATCTGTTGCACCTGCAGAGATTGCTCCTCTGATGTGCAGGTCGTTGGAGCACTGTTCGCATGCCGCCACATCAATTTTACTTCATGACCACGGGCTCTTTGAGCCCTAGTGCTTCAACTACATCCTCAGGTATATTGAGAATGTTCCATAAAGAACGGAGCTCATCCGGAGGTTAAGAGGCTCGACGGATCGGAGCTGACCTGCCTTCCACCGATCCGGGCTTCGCAAGATGAAGTCGACACTTCGGGCGCCCGAGAAACCCGAGAAACAGCGAGCCGGAAACCAGACCCCGCGCTGTGAACGGAGCGGTGAAACAAAGCCCCCGTCACCTTGATCTATCCTCCTAATTGATCCTAAATCCTCATTGATATGTGTTCAATACATTATTGTTTTGCAGGTGTATGCATCATCTCCACTGCAAAATGTTGCTACTTCTTGCGCAAAAGAACCTCAGGGAGCTTCTTCCGGCGCACTCCGGGAGTTTCTTTGTGAATGCCTTCGGATCCTCTCCAAGCCCTGCGCGGTCCTTTTCGTCCGGAGGACATCTTAGTCGGGGACATTTTGGTCCTCAAGAGCCACCGGGACAAGAAATGGACGCAGACCAACCAGCGCTGGCAGGTGAAGAGAACCGGTTGCTTCTGAAGCGAAGATGGGGTTCCATGGGGTTCCAAAAGTGTTGGATGTTTACCTTGGGCGACTTTGGAGGAGTATTTCATTGTCATATGTTGTCTTTACATATAAGATTATATCATCATAATAAGTTATATATACTGTATATTTATATATATATATGTTTGGTTTTCTGATTTTTCTGTATGCAAGAAGACCGATGACCAGAACTGATGTTTAGTCATTTGATGTGTGTTGAAGGTAAACCATGGACACCCTAATGTGGGCCTCTTATTAATAACCCCCCCCTTGATCAAGTGTGGGCCCCAAATAATGTGATTTCCAAAAAAAAACCTAGAAAATCTTGATTTGAATTGGAAATGAAAGGAAAGGAAAGGAGATTGAAGGAAAGGAAAAGAAATGAAAGGACACGAAAGGAAAGGACATTGAAAGGACAATGAAAGGAAAGGAAAGGAAATTGAAAGGACAATGAAAGGAAATTGAAAGGACAGTGAAAGGAAAGGAAAAGACATGAAAGGAACATGAAAGGAAAGGAAAGGAAATTGAAAGGAAACCTAAAGGACTTGTAAAGGAAACCACCAAAAGAACCAGCCAAAAAGTGTTTAGTACTATTTGAGGTCTTGAGTAATTGAAGGTTTGGGCTGCTTGTGGGGGGTGGTCTTTGTGGGTTCATTTCAGGTTGCAAATTGCAATGCCCAAATAAACAATTTTGAAAGAAACATGCAGCAGCCAAATCACAATTCCAGAGTAAAGGAAACCACAACATAATCAGGTTTTGGAATCAGCTGAAAGCTCAGAATCAGCTTGGATGAATCAAGGTCTGGAAGCAGCTGAAAATCAAGGTCCAGAAACCATTTAGTACTAATTGAGGGCCATTTAATATTGGTTTTTGAAAAGATTTAGTACAATTCACGGGCCATTTACAAATAGGAGGTCAACATTAGCCAGATAGTGTAAACCGACTCTGATGATGCTTTCCAATTGGATGCCAATGAAACAGGTGCAGCAATGTCATCCATCCCAGCTTAGGTGGACTGAGTACTCTATGTATATATATATATATACAAGGACTGAAACCAATGGCTGCTTTTTTAGCACTGCAGCAGCGGAAAGCAACAGCTAAAACACTTTTTGCCACCCCGACATGCTTGTTTCTAACTACACGGAGCTGCAACAGAGGCATTGTACTGCTCAATGTCTAGTCTAGTCGCATCCTTTACGTGTCCTCTTTCAACATGTATGCTTGTTCACCAAGCAGGGCTTCGGTGAGTCCTTGCTGTAGTTAAAGAGTTTGGGCTTCGGGTGTAGCAGGTGTAGCAGAGTCCTTCTTGTGGTGAACGCTTGTGGTGAACGCTTGAGGGTGGTGAATCCTAGTGTTAACTGCAGCATATAAATACCTTTCCACAAATCATATATCCAAATCGACAGGTGCTATGTGTGATTGGAAGAGTGTACTACTACTTTCTGGATCCACACTGACTGGCAACATGCCACACTCGGTTCAAAGACGAAAACAAGTGAGGCCCCACACAGAAAGCGCCAAGACGTTCCATGACCACATAAAGCTGTCCTCCTCTACATACCTACGAGGCCACATACCGTTTGAGCAGATGGTTGGGGATGTTTATACCTACCTTTCCACCTTCCCACCTCCCAACCAGGCTGAAACTTACCGCACCAAGAGAGCTCCTGGGCTTCTCAACACCTACAGTAACTCAGCTTACTGGTTACCCCTTGATTATGCTAGCGCTGCAATCCACCGACCCTCCCTTCTTCTATGCTGCTCTTGATAGGTCAAAAGCCGCAGACCTAAACCCTGGTAGGTTGACCTTCCTGAAAGGGTCCATTCTGTTCATATTTGGTGGTCAACCAGGGGCTCCGGTTTTGACCCGCAGCCAACGGTCAAGGCGAAGAAGAGCTTCCGGCCGACTTGATCCCTTTGGCCTGTGCAGGGCAGAATGGCCAGTGCTACGTCTCCACAGTTCCTTGGCCCTAAAAAATCAGCCAGGCCGTGGAATTCCTCTGGGATTTTCGTTGCTTTCCATGTTGGATCGTTTGCTGTCACGATCCAACTACGATTCTAGATCCTGGAAAGGTGGTACAGACCGTCCAAACATCTTTGGAGGTCTGTGGACTTGTAGGTAGTATTCCTCTTGTAGAAGACCAAGATGAGACTGCGATGATGTGCCGGCTTGAGACATTGGAGATTGCTTTATGCCAACTCAGTAGGTATGCAACCTGCAGCGACTGCTGAGCATTTTCATGTTTGGGCAGTGGACCAGGTCTCCCCTCAAGTCTCAATCACAGCGTTCACGAGGCCAACTTGGACGGGGAGACCAACTTGAAGATCAAGAATTGCCTGAACCTGGCGCAAGCCTGTCTTTGTGCCTTGGCCGTCTCCCGAACCTTGGTGTGTGTGTGTGTTTTAGGGGGGGTAGGCCGCTAGTAGAAGAGGTGTACTCGTAGTAGTAGAAGTAGAATGGTAGCTAGTAGCTTAAGTAGCTATACTAGCTACTGGACGCAGGATAGCTCACGCTTCTTCAAGGAAGCTTTGCCCGCTTGAGGGCGGAGGGGAGCTTCCTTGAAGAAGCGCTCACACTATTCATTTGGTTCCTAGATGTTTAGGGAAACTTAACTTGTAGGTTCTGTGGGGGCAACACACACACAGAAAGGCTCGTTGTTTCATGCGATAATTTGTTGTGCGTTTTCAGCTCGGATTCCATTCCAAATGTGGATGTGATGCTCAAGAAAGCCAGAGACCAAGAAACTCACAGGTGGCCAACGGTCATGTGTTCATTTATAGTGGATTGAGAGTAGATGGTGCAATCCCAAAGTTTACTTTTATATGAACCCCCATCTAAAAGTCATCTTCGGGGTTTTGCCCATCTACTCTGAATCCAGTATACGGGGTTCATGGGGTTGCTTGTTTGGTATTTGTTTGGTTAAGATTTTTGTATATTAAATTGTATAAAATATTAAAAGCACGAAGCAACAGTATATTGTATATATATATATATATCAAAATTAAGAGTAATTGGAACATTATGTCTATATTACATATTCTATAATGAGGAACTATTCGGTATTGCGGGAGCCTTGCTGAGGCAGTGATGACTTGGACCAGGACGGCCCACCTTTGTTGGACCAGGACTGGAGCTCACGGGCGGCCATCAGCACGGTCCGGGGAGGTTTGGTTTTCTTTGACACACACACACATGCTGGTTTTGGGGGATCTAGACATCCGCATGGATCTAGCCATGAATCATCATGAATCTATCCATCAAGTTCCGTGGATGGGTTGGTTCGTGTTTTGACATGCCTATCGAACCATTTTAACATGTGTTTTTTCTCCTTTTGAGGACATGTTTTCAGGAACAAGTACACATGGTCTTAACTTCAATTGAACTTCGAGTAGTTCCTTTCGAATTCTGACATCTATTTAATTTGTAAGCTACGAGATGTTCTACCAGCCGATTACCTCGTGGAAGGAAGTTCATTTCAAGTTTTCGTCCTATCATGCTCAAGTGTATTGAGGACTTGTGCGTTTCTTCCCATGCAACTCCCACTATCTGTGCACCGCGTGCTTGCGTTTGGGAATTCTGTACGCCGCAAGTCTGGGATGTTTGGTGAATCCTGATCGCACCGAAGCTGTAGGTTTTAGGGGGCACACCGACACACTGACATAAATAGGACGGCTTGATTGGGGTGTCATTGGTTCCAGAGCAGGCTTGAGACCTCATGTCGCAAGTAACACGGTGGCCGTGCGGCAGCTCAATGGCTGGAAGGCTGAAAAGACACATCATTCCAGCAGCTCCAAAGCGGTGCGGCCGGATCATGTCAACACCCCCATAACCCCCTCCTCATTCCAGCACCCCTCTGAACGAACTCAATCCGATACAAGTCGATACCAGTCTGATGCATGGTTATTCACGCTCGGGTTGGGGGTTTCGCGCTCGGTTTCAGCCCCAGCGTACGCTGCCTCCATGGGTCCGGGCCCACTGGGCTGAAGCTTCAGGCCATTGAAAAGCTGCCCACCTTGCATGGTTTGCTCCACATCGAGGCGGAGTGCGACCTCCGGCCTTGGCGGGGTACCAGTAGCCATGGGTTCCATGTCGAACAGATGTTTGGGTCGCTAGGGAGGTGTCTTGCTAGCGAAGAGGTTATTTAACACCACGATGGAAAATAACACGGCACTTGAAAAGAAATGCACATGCCACTTGAAGTCACTTGACAAGGACAACAGAGATATACGGAGACGACACTAGGTATTCCGAATGTCTCATATGGATGTGTTCTCCGAATCTCATATGGATGTTATTTTGTTTAATGAACCGTTTCCAGTCATGAAGGCTGAATTTGTGTTGAGATGATGGCTGAATGCACCCATGATGTTTCTCAGTTGATTGTGGATTGAGATCGGTTGGTCATGCAGTCATGCACCATAGCTACAACTATACTCCCTTAATGTCAATGTTCACTGATTTACCTGTTGCCGACCCATGCATCCGGGGATCAGGCTTTGCCCCACAGCCATGTATATATTGCACACCTTCCAATGACCTACAGTAGGTTTGAATGGTGAGCATTAATGATCGTGGAACAACACATTTTTAGTCAATAGTCAATATACAAAGTTGCTGGTTTGTACCAGGACCCTCCAACTGCTAGGGCCCAACAACCCTCAACTAAAGACCTGGCAGTGAGGGTACTGGAATGTGATGCAATTTTGTTGTTTTTCCAGATGGTGGTATCGCAGCACTGTCTTGAACACCTACTCGCACCATGCTGCTACCGGAAAGCTTTCATGTCCACCAAACCCTCCAACTACCTCCAACTCACGCCCGGAAGTTGGGTTGTTTCTTGGAAAAGACCTGATCCTACCCATGCAGTCTGTCGAAAACCGGATTGGTGACACGATAAAAAATAACAGCCACTCAAAGCCACCAGGTGGAAGCTTTGGTGAACCATTCACCATGGCGAAGCCTTCTTTTCCAGAGCCCGGTTGGGAGATGGTCCGTCACCCGTTGGGCGCTCGGAGGCGCCTAGCAAGTCGATCAACAAGTTCTCAGGACGCCGAACCGCCCGCAGTTCGGCGTCGGGAAGATCCCGCGACAGGGAATGGTACATATCTTGGTGTTGTTCTGGGGAAACTGGAGACAACCCGGTGAAATCCGACCCTTAATGGTTGTATGGTTATCTTCTTGGTGACCCCGCTGGAGTGGTATGGTTATTTCTCTCGTGTCGGTTGGTTGCGGTTAGCAGTGGCAAAACACATTGACAACCAAATAGTTACTGAGAAGTAGGGTTGGTTAGCAGTGGCCTGGGGGCGCCTCTAGGTACTAATTCCACCTGAATATGAAGAGGAGGATAGGTGTCCAAACCCTCTCGACACAGGCCATGTTGTTTTGGAGAATGGCAGGCTGGTGGGAGTCCAATTGTTCTATCACCATGTGAATTAACAGTTGTGAAGAAACCGGTCATGCAAAACAATGGATGCACCGATCCTTCCATTGTAGGAATGGAAAAAGTGTTTCTTTTCCTGCACTATGCTTCAAATTCGGTTGGCCTATGTTGGCCTGTAGTATGCTTTCTGCCTGAAGAAAGAGTCCCCGACTTTTTGCCGCTTCTTGGATTGAGGATCAGCAGAACTGGAGAATGGTGACACCAACAAGGAATCATTGCTGCTCGTCAGAAAATGCATGCGTAGCTACCTACCGTGTCAGTTTGGCGCTACTTGGGGACTCCAAAGAGGTCACTTTGCAAGGTCCTGGTGTGGAAAAATCGACTGGGCGTTCCGTTTTTCTCCACCAAGAGCTTGATTTGGAAATTGTGGGCTGGTTTTCAGGCACGTGCATGCATGTTGTCCTCCACACTTGGTTGAAAGTAGCCCGCAAAAAAAAAAACACACATAGACTAAAAACACACAAAACACACTTGCTGTTTTTAAAGAATTATAGGCGTCGAACGTGAAATGATGTGAAATGCGTCTATTCTGCAATTATGGAATCCAAACACTATGGAGCCATGACTCCTGGTTCCATCGGGCCTTTCTTCCCCACACAGATCGATGGACTTGCGATGTGGCCCTGGTGGCCCTCCGGGGTTCAACCCGTTTGACCTTTTGTGATGGGACCAGGCCATACTTTGGGGTTGCTTGGGGGTCTAAACTAGAGAGTCCCTCAGGTTCTGGGCATGTATGTCACCCCGTCCGACCCCTTTGAGAGAAGACCCACGAGTACCGCGGAACGGCGGAACGGCGGCCAGGTCGGCGGCCAACTTGCTCTTGCGAGGGACGCAGCTGCGGCCACTGGGAAAAGCGATGGGGGAGTGCGGCCTGCGTGGTTTGCTGTGGATTTATGAGCACTTTATATACTAGTAACTATGTTAAACTGCCATTGATCCTTAGTCAGGTCTGACATGGTTGACAGGTGTACCAATTAATTGGTTTGAGAGTTTGTTTGGCAATCTTTCAATTTCGGTCAATGATAGTATATAAGTGCAAGAGGAAACGACAAGATCACCCATCGACTGTGGGTTTCACGGCTAATTTGGCAGGTCTATTTGTCTCTTGCGTAGGTCTGACAGACCACACCGAACAGCAAAAAATAAGCTACTGTATAATAATGATAATACACATTTGGTGCATGGTTCTTCACCAGAAGGTTTTGGGCAAAGTGCATTGGTTTTTCCCACATTGTATTCATTGTAGCAGATTTTAGCAGAATGATGAGTCCCTCAGTCTCCGCATGTTCATTCAGCTGTTCAAGAAGTATACCGATCCTCAAACACTGGATAGGCCCGCAGAGATTCCCACCCTTGTTGCCATATTCAACTCCCCTGAGGCTTTCCAAGGAGGCTTTCCAAGTTCCAAAGTTCCATGTTTGTCTTACCCACTTCGCACCTTGCAGATTCACCTCTTCTACCTATCCGGTGTGCTTCTCTTCTCTTCTGCTGTTCCTCGTCCCCTCGAGGAACACGGCCTGGCTCTTTGGCGTGGTGGTCTACACGGGGCCCCAGACCCGGATGGCCATGAACAGCCGCGAGACCCCCACGAAGCTGGCGAACCTCGAGCAGGCAAACGTTCGCGAGCTCGTGCGCGCTTAGCGCGCGCGACCGGCGAAAAGCGCGCATGCGACACAGAAATATTTGGACGTCTTTGAGTTGCCCAAGAGTTGAATCCGAACTAGATGATCTATTTTTGGAGAACTTCCTTGGCGCAGTTTACTTTGTTGGGACGACATTTACTTTGTTGTGCGCAGTTTATTTACACTGTTTACAATGCTGAAGACATTGATAATTGATTCTTTGATGTTCATTGCACGGATTCGGGTCAGAACCAACTAGCCACAGCACGAAAACCCTGGTTCACCGCCTCCTAGCCGCTAGGAGGCGGTGAGAAAAAAGACACAAACATATTTAAAAACACACACACACATGCAGTATGGTTTCACCCACGTGTTGTGGGTGGCTTTGGGGCTCTGGGTGGACGGATCCGGACAGAGGTGGTGAACCGTGCCATGCTGGTGGTGCTGGGCGCCCAAGCGGTCTTGGCCATGCTGAGCTCAGTGCTGCGCCTGGGACAGCGCTTAGCAGATCAGAGTATTCACTAATTGTATAATTTACATAATTTACAAACACCAATTAACTATGATATATATATATGTATGTATTATCATTTGGAAATCGATCCAACAGTCTGGAGGGGGGATATATATAGGTTATATACATAGATTACACTATATTTTATTTTACCCTATATTATAGAGAGAGAGGGTGGGTGAGGCGAGGTCGGTGTTTCTTGGTGGTGATCGACAGTGATCGAGTCCAGACATCTGAGAAGGACGGGACCCCCTTTCAATAATAAGAAATGTCCAAACAAATTTGGGAAGCGCTGGCATACTTGCAAGGCTGCCCCACTATGTGAAAGCAAGCAATGCCTCCCTCAAAGTTGAAGTCTACAGTTGTCCCAACCTGTGGGAAGCCACGGAACTTTCCAAAGTGTATGTGGAGGACATGAGGTTTAACAAGGAGTTTTGACAGCAACTGGTTTATACAGTTTCTTGTTGTTTGCGTGTAGCTCCAGTGGACACGTCGATCTTCGGCCCATCAACGCGTCGATCTGTGACGGTGGATGGCGCAGCAGCCGAGTCGAGTCGTGTGCTGAGGTATGTGGCTCATGAGGGCAAGTTCAAAAGCCTTTGGTACTTGTATCCTCCCAATACCTTCATACGCGAAGGGCTCTTCACGCGACTGGTCATGAACTGGTTCAAGCGCCTTGGTGAAAATGGCTGAAGCCTGACAGGGTCAGAAAAAGAGAGCTTTGTTGCAATCATGATTTCCTTATAGTTTCAGACAGGTGACATGCCTCAGGTGAAGCGAACTAAACCATGCGAACCCATGCCCTACCATTGGATTTTCCGAAAACCGCCTGTCGCAGCCCATTGCAGCCCCACCATTCTGTTCGGGGAGCATACCCAATCATCAATCGCCTATTGCATCTAGCACTGCGCTCTTTCCCAGGACCCAGTGTTGATGGGCAACATATTTGGGGACTCCAGACAATCCATGGCGAACGTGAATAGGAATAGGGACTAGGGTTTTGTGGTCGCAGGTAGTGCAGTTTTTGTATTTTCCCGGCAGAAAGCAGCTATTGTTTATGAGTTTAAACATCCCATGGCATCAGCCCCAATGACAAGAAGCAACCTCACTGAGCCATGTACTCCCAAAGAGCTTGCAATTGGCAAGGATTGTTCTTTCTCTCTTGGGTTACCCAAGCTAATGAGCACAGCAAGTGTGTTGGGCTGCGAGTCACTTGCCAAAGCCTGCACGTCCATCTTCATCCAATAGTTGCACACGAATGGTCGCGTTGTTGACTTGCTGCACGCTTCAAAACCCCAGAATAATATATATATATATATATTCCCTACAGCCCATGGAAGATGAGGCCTGTCTAGAGCTAGCTAGTGAGAGTGATATGTGATCTGATCTTGAACAGGCGTAAGAGTTTAAGAGTTCAAAAGAGTTATTTAAGTATAAGTCTTGAGTTTGTTTACAGCCAGTGAAAGATATATTTGACCAGAACTTGAATATGTGTAACACAAATAGTTTTAAAGTAATTGACCTTTGAGTTCAGTCTTCGTTACATGCTGGTCTTGGACAGTACTGACTTCCAGGGGCTCCAGACTATGGCCAAAACAAAGGTTTTTTTTCAAGAACCAGGTTTTTGACATGACGACCCGTGTTTTTTTAAAAACCGGGTTTTTGCATTCTCAGGACATGCACTGGGATGGTGCTTAGCTTGGCAGCCATTTTGGCTGTACATTTGTGGGTGTTGATGGTGATTCAAAGTTTGGTGAAGGACCAGGTTTAACAATCACACCACCCCAATACGACCTTCATCAAAGCATGCCTATAGATAAAGGCTCATGGATAAAAGTGAGCCTGAATAAAGAGAAGTCCAACCATCTCAAACCCTTTTAAACCTCCCTTCTTCGCCGATCGGATGCTGCTCTGGACTTTTTCGCTGGCCAACTCGGGTCCAGCCCGGAGACTCAGCTCAAGCCTGCACAAGGGAAGGATTGGAAATTGGAAAGAGTCTCAAGCGCGAGTGCGAACAGTGGATATAACAAGAACTAATTAAACCAATATAGCTGTATGTATAGGTCTGCGTGTTCAATACATGCATGCTTACAACTGCCAATGGATTGCAGCCATTGAAGGTTCAATTTTCATCCACTGCAATCCTTTGGACATCTTTGGACCATGGCGGTGGTTCACCCCCCTACCAAAGAAGTTTGCTCTACAGAGCTGATCCACCGGCAGTGGAAGGAGTCACATGCTGTTCGCCACGTGGCTATTCGTTGCGACCGTTTGTTCGAAATGCCCAAAACGAAGAACAAGGACACCAGCGACAACCACGTGAAGATTTGCATTGCCGTTGCAGTCCACAATCAACAGGTGTTGATTCCATTGCTGCACAACATGGCAGCACATCCCAAGCATCCTGTTCCATACGTGAAAGCGCTTGCCCACCAGAAACTCGGTCCATGCATTTAAGCGTATTAATACTGCCGTTATACGGTAGCCAAATAAAGATCTGGGATTTCAAACAATATATAATATGGTTGAATTTAGATCTATGTTTTACTGTTGGTCCCCGAACGACATATATATATATATTCGATTTGGGGTTGCTGCGCCATTCCTTCAAGTTGGGCCTGGGGGTTGATCCAAGGATCAAGGTCTTCCGGAACAAGCTGAGCCTTATCCCCCAGAAGGATAAAGTCAAGTTGGATGCGTGGACGTGCAAGAGCTTTCTGAGTTTTATCAAGATGAAAACTCATAAGAGGTTGGGTTCCAAGGCACCTTGATTGCTGAATCAAAGCGTTTTACAAGTTTTTATAAGATTTTGTGTAGGCCAACTTATATACGTTAAGTGGTTATTTGGGTCCAATGGAACACATATGTTTTTGTGCAACATGTCTCCTTAATCGATCTTTTGAACACCGTGCTCAGAATTTGGAGTTCTTGCAGTTGCAGCGGATCCTTGACCCATCCATTGAGGCAGGAACCAATTTCAAATGAGCAGTGCGGCAGTAGGGGGCCTGCATATAAACTGTTGAAATCAGAATTGAAATGGTTGGGGTCTGGGCGTTGCAGGTGAGAGACCAAAGATTTTCAATAGCACTTGCATCCCTGCAGGGCCGCCATGGTCACGATGCTGCGGATGCTGGAGATTGTGAGGCTGAGTCTCAGGACACAAATGAGTCTCAAGAGCCGGAAATGCTGTTCGAGGAGTCGGACTTGGAGGTGGAGAGTGAAGATGACGCATGGTTCGATCAATTGGTAGCGAATGCAGTTGACCCAGCAGAAGAAGCAGCTTCGGAAGGCCCCGACCTTGAGAGAGCTTCAGCCAGTCATGAGGTGGAGGCCAATGCCACGCTACTTGATCTTGATGTTGAAGACTCTCAGTTTCCTTTTGATGCGAAGGCTTCTGAGCCATGTGATCGTCCAGTGGCTCGTCCGCTTGCAGGTGACCAGGTGGTAATGGAGATTGACATTGATGAGTCTCCCATCTTCAAGACAAAGAAGGAGCTCACTTCGGTGGCTGATGATCCCAAAGCTTCAGTGCGGGAGAAGGAAGCACACATGCGCTTGCTCCGTGGCAAGCTTCGTGAATTGGAGGCTGCGATTGGCCATGCAAAGTTGGGGACTCATCTTATCACTGTAAGCCACTATATAGCTGACTTCAATATGTGCCTGCAATATATATATATATAATGAGATTGAATGCAACACTTTGATGCCAAACATCCAAATACATCAACTTACAATTTTGATGTGCAAGTTCTGTCCGCTTAAGCGTCTATTCATTCGTCACTGCATGTTGTCCATCGGGTGCCTTTTTTGTCTTACTGTTGATGATGCGTGTGATGATTTTTTCTACTATAATTATATGTACACGCGGTCAGAATTTCATATAATATATGTTTGTAAACTTTGCAAAGTATAATTGCAAGAACAGTCAAATCAGGCAAACGTGGATTCCGAACATTGCTTTGTGAGAATTCAACAAATCCCTTGCCTCAAATTGCTTTGAGATGTTTAGGTCTTTGGAAGAGAAGGTTGCAAGTGATGTGAAGACTGTGGCCACATTACAACGGCTGCATAGCACGCCTCTCTTGATTGATGAGACTCTTCCATATGGCGCCGACACTGCTCCGACTCTGCCCATGGACCCCAATGGTGGCATCACTGTCTCTGTTGCTGCTCAGATTCAGAGGGGGGAGGAGGCAAGGACAGTCGAGCCCATGGAGATTTCTCCGGATCCAGTGGAGGAGGAAAAGGCCAATGTGCACGACAAGATCTAGTTTTTTAAGGGTGTATATATGGGGATAATTTTTTGCATTTGACAGTTCCAAGCGTGATGGATTTTGTGTTCATGCAGTTGTTATCAAACAATGTTATTATAAATATTTTCATCCACTGCCTTGAAATCAGATTGCATGCCCACATGTTCTCAAGTATTTTTGTTATAATATATGGTTTTGAATGTTTAGCTCAAACAAAAATATATTCGATCGACTATTGGTTCTTGGTTCTGTGGTCCTGGAACCATGTCAGGTGCCGATTCTTACTCGCAGGGAGCAGCTGGGTCTTGCAGCGGAAGCCAAGGAGAATGCACAGGCTGGGAAGGGCCGAGGGAGAGGCAAAGGCAGAGGCAGGGGAAGAGTCGCAGACAGGAAAGCTGTCGTCATGCCTGACTTGAATGCCGCTGTCCCACGTCCAATGGGAAATGCTGAAGAGCCTGCCCCGTCTACCCCAGAGCGCCGTGCTTTGCGATTTGATGATGCGCAATCTCCTTTGCCCCACCCTGAGAAGAAACCGGATGCACCTGTGCCTGAGCCTGCCAAAGGCCCTGTTCAGTCACCAGAGATCAAGCAGGAAAAGAAGAGGGCGAGGAGAGGCAAAGGCAAGAAAGCACCAGATGGTCCTGGTGAGCCTGAGGCATTTGAAGCTGGTCGGGTTGCAGTGGCAGCTGAATCCACCGAGGCAGGCGCATCAGCCTCATCAGCTCCGATGCCAAAAGCAAAGGAAAGCAAGAAGCGCTCGAGGAAAGCTGCGAGCTCCAAGGCAGAGCCTGCTCCAGAGCCTGCTCCAATCGAGCCTGCAGAACCTGCTCCAAAGGCTGCCCTCAAGCCCCCTACTCCAAAGGCTGAGCGGAAGCCCCCTGGTAAGGCTGCGAGAGAGTTTGCCCTCGACCATTTGATTGATGCCAAAAAGGATGATGCAACGTGGTTTCACGTCACCAAGCTTTGGCATGCCTTGGACAATGTAAAGATGGCCAAAGGCCTTGGTGACAATTTGCCGAAGTACACCTACTGGAGTATCAGCATGTACTGGCACACGAACCGGATGGGGCTTTTGCAGAATGGTTCCAACAGCAAGGACAAGAAACACGTCTTGTCCTATGGCTCGAAGGAATGCCGCTCTATCTCTTTGCCGGTTGCCGCAGCAGACTTGTTTGTGCACATCTCAGTCATCACTTCAAGCATTTGAACATAAATTTCAACATAATATTAGTTTAATACAGTTTGAAAAGCTGAAGTGTAATCTTGCACTGTGTGGAATTGGAATTCAAGTATGCGCATTACAACTATATATACAATTTACAAAAGGTTGGCGCAATTATGTGTTTTTTTAAATATAGTGACCATGTCAGGTGCAGTTCGTTGGTGGGGACAAGCCACGCGATGAGCTCAAGGACCTT